GCGCTTTGTGACAATAACATCACGTGATCTCGATGGCAAGGGGCGGTGCAAGGGCCGAGGAATGTGTGGCCATAACAGAAGGCAGCAGGGAGGGACGGGAGGGAGTGGAGGGGTGCCGCGGAGAGAAGGGGAAGGGCAATGGCCGATGGTGAATAGGTGGGTGAGGCTTTGAGAGAGGAACGGGAAAAAAATTTACCCGTAGAAACAAAGTTTTTCACTATAAATCCTTTATATGCGTGGCGGCTAGAGTCCTCTCGTCCTCTGGCTTGAGATGGCTGCCACCTATGGGTCAGATGATTGCCTGCCACCATTAAGCAATCGGTAATTAAATATAATTTATTTTTTCCTAAAAAGTATCAAATTTTGGGAAAAATTTTCACGAAAATTAATTGTCACGCACAACGAGTCTGTGTGGAAAATGTCAGCTCGATTGGATCACGGGAAGTGGGTTAAAAAACGACCGAAAGATTTGCACGGTCGTAAGCGCGCAAGCAAGCAAGCAAGCGAACTTAATATAAAGGATTTAAAAAGGCAGCAGACATCGTTGCTGCTCGCAGCAGACATCGCGGCTATCGCGATTTTCACCTGAAGACGGGTGCTTGTGTTGCGTTCGAAACGTCGTAATTTATTTTGTTCTATTTCTACCTACGCGACTTTACCGAAAGAACCAAAGAGTATGGATTCCTGCGGTCACGAAAGCTTCAAATCAGGATTGAGAGAAAAGAGGTTAAAGGAGGGGGACTGCTCAATGTACGGGGGGGGGGGGGGGAGTTGATTCCAGTGGTAGGGTGCAAGGAGGGAGGAGGGGGGGGGGGGGGACAGGAACAAAGAGACACAAAGAAGTCTACAGAAAATGGGCATAACTGGTGCAGTGGTATTTTTTTTATTTTGCTTTATTTTTCTACCTACGTGACTTTGCCGAAAGAACCAAAGGGTATGAACACACCGCTTTGCGAGCAAGGCCGGCGTGCTTTGTATCAGGAGGTGCCCCTTTTCCTCCCCCCTGCCAGTGTAGATATGTGCTTATGTAAGACGTGCTTAGACCGGGGTTTACTGGAATTGATACGGATATGTCTTTTCTAGAATCCGATTGATATTATGTGCGCAGTCAACGGTAAAATAACCATACACGAATTCACATTTCATTCGGTTCTCTGTGACATTTGTGAACAAAGTGTACAGTATACATATATGTGTGCGCAATAACAGGCCAAGATGTCTAAAGTTCCTCAAATCAGTTGTCTTCCTATTCAAATAGAAGATTTATCAAGGCATACTTCCGTGATTGAGGCATTTAATTTCTGTATAAACATTTAGGCAATAAGTCCGCGAGTTCTCTCAACAACCATTCCCACTTCATTGATAATATCCACAATTACTCTATCGGGTTCTAAGGCTTTTCTTACTTTTCTTACTTTTCATTTTCAAACCGTGACAGGCGGTGGTTATCTCTTCAGATGTGACATTGGAAAAATCCTCCTCCTACTCAACCAAAAATTATTAATTTCCTTGGGTATATGATTTGTTTTGCTCTAAAGATCCGCAGAGAATTCCTTAACATTTTTTACGACTCTCTCTCTCTCTCTCAAGCCCTTTCTACGGTTCAATCCTAGTCTCTTTGGGCCACGATTTATGAATTAATAATAATCAACTTGTACCTTGCACAGTAGTCGCTCACTCTCGTCGAGAGACAGAAGAGAGTGGCTTAGAGGGTGCAAGGAGGAACCAAAGACAGCTGAAAGGTCACAGCCAGGCGGTGAGCCGATGGCAAATCCCCCCCCCCCCAGTCCTCTCCCAACTCCTGTGGTCCTCTATGTCCTGAAGCGTTATTGGCCAATCGATGGATGATAAGCGGGAGGAAACCGGAGCTTCCGGTGAAAAGCCATTCGCGCTTGGGGTCGACGTTCTATCCCACACAGCAGCGGGCCCCAACCTTTTTGGCACCAGGGACCGGTTCATGGAAGACAATTTTTTCACGGACCGGGGGGGGGGGGGGGGGGGGTTCATCATTGGGTCTTTCCCCCTTTTCAAAGAAGCTCTCCCGCGACGTTTGTTTTTTACTCATTGTGGCTAGGGGTTAGCAGCTTGTGGGCTTACCAAAACCGTGACCGAGACCAGTGCGCAGTGCGGGAACGAGGCGTGGACGTAAGTGGTGAATAATAAAACAATGGGGGCAGGCCACGCGCGGACTCACCGCTCTCACCTCCTGCTGCAGTGCGGCCCGGTTCCTAACAGGCCACGGACCGGTACCGGTCCGCGGCCTGGGGGTTGGGGAGCCCTGCCTTACAGGTCGAACAGGTGGAGTCTATATTTCAGAATCAAAATCAGAATCTGTATTTATACTGCAAGGAATCCGATGAGCTATAAAGATATTTTTCACAGATGTCCAGCCGGGGCACGGGGTAAGAACGTTACAACAACAAACGGTACAAAAACACACGATATGAGTGCACAGTACAAGAAATGTAAACAAATCATCCAAACACACACAAATACAACAACTAAACCATCCCCATCCTACCAGACAAAGCCCACTGAGGTATTAACTTATTTTTCAAAAGCGACCCGACCACAAATGATAGCTCAACAAAGTGGCTTATCATTTGTACTTTAATAGCATCGAAATCATCTAAATAGTCTAACCGCATGTTTCTAAATGCGGTGGGACAAACCAGAGGACCCGGATTAAAAAAAATCCACGCGACCACGGGGAGAACACGCAAACTCCAAGTATACAGGCGACAGGCTCAGGATCGAACCAGGCGAGGAAGTAACATCTGACCACCGTGGTGCCCCTTAAATAAATAAAGTATACAAGTCATATTTTTAGGTTTTTTCGGTAAAGTCACGTAGGTAAAACATTAAAATTAATAAAAGTAACATAAAATAAAAATCACGACGTTTCGGAGGCAACACAAGCTTCCGTCTTCAGGTGGAACCGTCACAGCCACCTGAAGACGGAAGCTTGTGTTGCCTCCGAAACGTCGTGATTTTTATTTTATTTTACTTTTATTAATTTTAATGTTTTACCTACGTGACTTTACCGAAAAAACCTAAGAATATGAATCCTTGCAGTCACGAAAGCTTCAAATCTAGAATTAATATACAAGTTCAAATGACTTAATCAATTCACAAGCTTTGGAAAGGCCAGGGAATGTCATCATGACCCCCCACGGTAAGAGAGCACCACAACATGCGCAATCCACCAACCCTCGTCTCTACAAACCAGTGGAGGCCAATCATCGATGTACCTTCTTTGTGCGTTCATGATCCCATTGCTTATTGTCAGATCTAAAATCATGTTTGCGTTGAGTGTCCCTCATTTGCTCATTCTTTTCCCAATTATTAATCTAGATTTGAAGTTTTCGTGACTGCAGGAATCCATACTCTTTGGTTCTTTCGGTAAAGTCACGTCGGTACAAAATAAATTAAATCACGACGGGCACTTGTGTTGCGCCCGAAACGTCGTGATTTAATTTATTTTGTACCGACGTGACTTTACCGAAAGAACCAAAGAGTATGTTTTCCCAATTATGTTACAGGAGTTCTATGTATGCAATATTTTACTTGATATTTTAAGAACTCTTCACCAATATCCATTTTTTACCTGAATTTTGTGACGATAAGAGTTTATTGGGCCAGGCTGCGTGAATGTAAAAGTGTAAAAAAAAAAGCAATTTGTAGTTTAAGAAAAAGTTGCCCCATGTTTTCTTTAGCTCGCCACTTATTTGGCACTATTCCATTATTCCGTTCGTAGCAAAACACAGCGTACAAAATATACATGTGAAAAACAGCCAGGAAATGGGCCACACACTCAGTGAGTCTATTCACAGTGGCACTAGAAACATCTTTCTGAAACATAAAGTATGATCATGAAAAGCCTACCGAAGCAAAAACACTTACTCGTGCTTATGGATTCGAAACATGGAACTCTGACAAAGTACATGGGAGCAAAAGCTGAAAAGCACACAGGGTAGTGTGTCGAGATGCATGCTGGGTATTGCAAAAAGCAACACGTGGATAATGTAACAGACTCAAACTAGAGACAACATACCGACTCCTCGGGAAAACTATGTAGGCTTTTAGCAGAACACATCGCGAAGGGCTAGTTGCAATTACGCGTGACCGGTGTTAGAAAGGCAGCCAAAAGAATGGTAATGTCCAAAGGAGACCACCACCGTGGCGACGGAGTGATGAGATTAGCTCGTGTGCAGGTGGACTGTGACAGTGGTCCCCCTCATGATCTCGAGAGGGCATTCATCGAGCACTGGAGAGAACACGGCCGACGAAGATAGGACGCTGGCAGGGACCATATTCTCTCCGAGAACGACCGCTGTTTTGTCGACTGCCCGCGAAACGGTCGGCATTGTATATTCACTGTGGGTGGCAATGTTGCTCAAGCACAATTAGTACCCGCGTGAGGAAACCGACACGACAGAGAAGCCTTTTGCAGAGTCAACCACTTGAACAGCGTACGAACTGGGAACCCTCCAATTGTGGGTTTGAGCAAACGACTTCAACTGTGTTGGTACTCTGAGATATGTGGCTCTTTTTCAGAAGCCACCTGGCCACAAATGATAGCTTAACAAAGTGACTAATCACGTGGGAAAAAAACACGTAATGTTGATTCTACATGTGGAGGGAAAAACACCGGAGGACCCGGAGAAAAATCCACACGGCCACGCGGAGAGAGAGTAAGACGCGAACTGCAAATATACAACAAGCATCGACAGGGTTGTGATTGAACCCACAACCTCCCGTACACCAGGCGAGATAGTTAACATCTACACGAGGCGGTGTGGGGAGCGGCACGCCAGCCTCGGGGTTAGGCCAGTCGCGGGTGGGGGGGGGGTTTGGGGTGTGGGGGGGGTGTGGGGGGGTGGGTGGAGTGTGGGGGGTGGGGGGTGGGGGGAGTGGGGGGAGTGGGGGTTATGGGAAGTGGGGGTTATGGGGGGGTGGTATTTGGGGGGGGGGGTGTGGGGGGTTGGGGCCGGGCCCACCTCTCTCGCTGGCGTCGTCCACCAGCACGATCTCCGAGAGGAGGTGTCGCGGGGAGCGGCCGATGACGCTGTGCAGCGTGCGCAGCAGCGTGCTCCACGCCTCGTTGTGGAACACGATGACCACCGTGGTGGCGGGCAGCCCGTCCGCGTACGCCTTCGTCTTGCACCTGGGCACACCGGGTTTGCAATGCGGGGCGTCGGCGAGGTCAATTTTTGTATTTAAGATTTTTTTGTTAAAAGGGAAAAATTCATGGGCGGACAAGGCGCAAGAAGATAAAAAAAATCGATAATTTAAGTAAAGGTCAAGGAATGAGGTGCACCACATAAAAATTAACTCGCGTTTTTGTTTCAATCATTTTTTATTTATTTATAATTACAACTCAACACGTGCCCGGCACAAAGCGGCTATGACGGGGCGAACGAACGCCCGAGGTTGGGCGCTGCGGGGCTTCGTGAAGGGGGAGAATTGGGCTCACTGGCCCACCCAGGTTGGGGGACCACAAGCGAGGGCATGAAAACGTTGAAATGGGGAGTGGAAAAAAGGGTCGGGGGAAGGACAACGAATGGGACAAAAAAAAAACACAGGGGACAGGGCAGAAGAGGGGAAGGGGGGGGAGGGAGAACCGGGGGTGGGGGGTGAGAAGGGGGACATTTTTACAAAATAAGTTGCTGAATTTCTACATTCAAAAATAATAAAATTATCGAATGCATGGTTTCCATGGGACAGCCATATGCCCCTCCAGCCCCCACCCAAAGTGATGTGCCATGAACAACAGATTTGTATTTTCGGCGCATGATGCATGGCATGTTTGAAAGGAAATAAGGGAAGTGCCTAATCTAATTTGCTATTGCAGCCATTTCCAAGATTTCATTTGAGACGCTATCTAAACTCACGATGTTCACAAGGACCATGACCCCCCCCCCCCCCCAGACAGCATTCAGCACCGCCGTTGCCTGGGCGAGCAGCAGGGTGGATCAGCCAGAGCAGCCTGCTGGCCGACCAGCACTTTTCATTACAATAATGCTTCACATGAATAATGAAAGAAGTCATCAAGGTATATTTAAGTTTTAGTTGAGTATAAAAAAATTCTGCCGTGTAATTTCGTTTTTTGTTGTTGTTTAACGTTCGCAAACATTGGAGTGAATGCGAATTTTAATGAGATCGTCCCTACGCCCCTTCTGGCATGCGCTTTTCACTTCTCGGTGCCCTATCTCCGATGAGCACGGTTGGCGACATGCGGTGTGAAAGAAGTTCAAAGGGCAAACGTACGTAGTACTCTCATTGGGCCAATCCGAGCGTCCAACGGAAGTGACGTTACAGAGCACCACAAAGCACCAAGCCAAATATTACATTCTAGATTTGAAGCTTTCGTGACTGCAAGGATTCATATTCTTAGGTTTTTTCGGTAAAGTCACGTAGGTAAAAAAATTAAATTAATAAAAGTAAAATAAAAATAAAATAAAAATCACGACGTTTCGGAGGCAACACAAGCTTCCGTCTACCTACGTGACTTCACCGAAAAAAAAACAAATATTACAATCGAATTGGGTCATGACAATAGAGCAAAACCAGCCTCGGTTTGCAAATAATGTTCCAGGAATTAATAGCCAGCCCATAGCTGATAATGCACTCCAGATGAGACAAACACAGCTATTACTCGACTGTCCTGATCAATGGGATGTTCATTTATCCACTCGGGCATATGTATTATTATGTGGCTATGGTTAGAAAGCAGCACCCTTTGTATCGTATTTCATGTTCAGGATCAGAGGGAGATGTATGGAACTGCTTATCACACAACGTTCTGACATTGACACGAACGCTTATTTGAAAGCCAAGCGATATCAGGAAAGACAAGTTACAATCTGAGTGAAGAAATAAAAAATGCTTTAAGAGGAATAATGTAATCAGCCACACATAAAACATTCATCGCAGGTCTTTTTGTGGCGCTTTGATGCCATTAAAGAAAGGAGATTACAATGAAATTCACCAAAAAGTTGCGTCGGAGTTAAACAGAGGCATGCCATGCAAAATTGAAATTACAAAAAAAAAAAGCTCATGACACAATGGTTTTAGATTACTCAAATTAACTCGTAGCATTTAAATACATCATCAACACTTACGACATACTCTTAGGTTTTTTCGGTAAAGTCACGTAGGTAAAAAATAAAATAAAAAATTTACTAAAAGTAATAATATAAATAAAATAAAATAAATATTTAATATTTTATTTCTATTATAAAAATTATTTTTATTATTTTATTTTATTTCTATTATAAATAAAATAATATTTATTATTTTATTTTATTTCTATTATTACATTTAGTAATTATTTTATTTTATTTTTTACCTACGTGACTTTACCGAAAAAACCTAAGAGTATGAATACTTACGACATATCTAGGTGGTGAAGGTAAAAGATACAGCCCTGAAATCCCTTCCTCGTGCTATTGCTGGCACAAGGAGATTCCCGCTAGATGGAGCTCGTGAGAGACCCTCTTCCACCCAGTCCAAGTGGGGGGGGGGGGGGGTGTACCCACAATTGACCCACATGTGGCCTCCCGATCGACTCACTTTGGTGTACCCAATTACACTGCCGACCCAGTGACGGGTTATCGTAGCAGCAAAAGTAGCTACATGTAATAATAGCTGCACGTGTAGTAGCTACTACACGGGTAGCTACTACACGCGTAGTAGCTACTACACGGGTAGCTACTACACGCGTAGTAGCTACACGTGTAGTAGCTACGGGCCCCGCACTTTCAAGGGCCCAGCTACACGTGTAGTAGCTACATGTGCAGTAGCTACATGTGTAGTAGCTGCATGTGTAGTAGCTACATGTGTAGTAGCTGCACGTGTAGTAGCTACGGGCCCCGCACTTTCAAGGGCCCAGCTACACGTGTAGTAGCTACATGTGCAGTAGCTACATGTGTAGTAGCTGCATGTGTAGTAGCTACATGTGTAGTAGCTGCACGTGTAGTAGCTACGGGCCCCGCACTTTCAAGGGCCCAGCTACACGTGTAGTAGCTACATGTGCAGTAGCTACATGTGTAGTAGCTGCATGTGTAGTAGCTGCACGTGTAGTAGCTACGGGCCCCGCACTTTCAAGGGCCCCGCGCTCAATGCTTTCAAGTTATCAATTCTGGCTCAGTGATTCTGCACTTGCTCTATTACTATAGTACAATACTGTCTTCAACTTTTATGTACGACTGGGCGTTTAAGGTTAGAGATTTGTCGTATTACCTGGCTGTATTGCAAATAAAAAAATAAAATGACTTTACTATGCAAGTACAAATTTTGTGTTTTAATATTTACGTTTTTATTTTATTTAGGGCCCCTTTATAACATACTACAGGCCCCGCACTAGCTTAATCCGGCACTGTGCCGACTGCATATACAATTGATCAAAATACATTTTGATCCATTGGAACACAAACGTATGAACCCTGCAGGAGACAATTATACAATGAGCGAAACAATCCTTTCAAATGAACACCATCGCTGCGTTGATCTTGAGCTCCTCTCGAGCCAACGTGAACAATTTCCCCACCACCGCAGAGTGCGCACACGCCAACCGCACAATGTGTGCGCTCCGAGGTTCTCGCCGCTCATTTCTGCCTCACTTTGGCTCAAATCGGCCGCAGAGCCATGGCGCTGCATCGTGTCGAGCCACTTGGTCTATTTAGCAGCAAAAAAAAAATTGATCAAGAACACGTCGAAGAATCGAGCGGAGCTGGAGGATGAGTGAGCGTGGCGAGGGAGGCTGTTTAAATAGCTCGACGCATATGTACCCACGTGCGTTGAACTTCTTTCGCACCATTAGTCGCCAATCGTGCTTATCGGAGGTGCGGGATGACCGGTTTGGAGAGCGGTGGTGAATACAGATCGACGCGCAGCAGCGGGACGGACGGACGGATGGACGATTGGACGGATGGACGGACGGATGGAAGGGCAGAACGAGAGTTTCAAGGGCGTGGGAGGCTGAGATAGATGGATGTGGGGAGATGATGCCACGAAGCCATGATCAGTAAAAAAAAACCACCCCCAATCTTTGGGGGGGGAGGGGGGGAAGAGCACCAAGTGCCACGCTCGTGTGCTGCTGTAACGCGGCATGAGTTTTAGGAAGCAACGCGCCGCACCGTGCCCCCCCGCCGCCACCGCCGGCGGCTCGTGATAGATACGCCGCGTGACTAAATTCGCATTATTTTGTCGTTCCGTCTCGCGCCGTGGTATTTCCAATATCAGCGCTATCAATGGCTGAAATGTTATCACTCATTCGAGAAAAAACGAATGAGTAACAAAGTGCTTGCTGCGCAGTGCTCCGAGCGTGGGTGGATGCCGAGGCATGGGGGTAATTCCCGCACGGGGGATGGCTTTTCTGCTTGGCAAACGAGCTGTGCTCCACTGTGCAATGTGTAAGACCTTGAAATATTAATGTTTAGGTTGACCATTATATCGAATGTAGTCGAAGTAGCATGGCCCTTTGTCAATGGACAGCTGGATAAAGGGCCTCCCCACACCGTGCAGGTGGTCATGGAGGTTGCTTTGAACATACTTCACCTTGCTGGTCAATTTGAGCTGAAGGCAAGGCAGGTAACAGATGTGAGAGATTAGAAGTACAGTTCAAGAGTGGATTTTGCTCCGCCGCTCACAACATAGCATCCACAGCCTATAATGACTAGTATGCAAGGTTGTCGCCCATCCAAGCACTATCCAGTCTCAACCATGCTTAGCTTCCGAAATCTGATCGGATAGGGCACATTCAGGCAGATATGGTCATTGGCGTAATATTCTCACGCGCGCACTAAACAGGACTCTTAACCTGAATATGCTCATCTATATACCAATATGGTGACACATTGGATATCATCGACATATACTTCCACGTGCGTACATGTAGCTTCATACGTGTGTGCGTATTCACACGTATAATCTGCGTATGTTTACACAAAGATATCCCGTGTAGCCTTTAACGGACTGTTGGGGCAAGAGCTGTAAGCAAGCAGCACCTATGATGGCCTGCACGGCAGGGGCAGGCAGCCAACACCACGTCCAACTGCCTTTGTCTCCACTATGTTGATGTACTCACTTAAGGTTGAGTCAACGTAGGGGAGGTCCAGGAAACGCCTCAAACACCCGCCACTGTTATTGGGATGGAATCAAACT